CACACACACACACACACACACACACACACACACACACCCCACATACAAAAGGCACTCAAAAGTATCAGGAGGCATTGAAGAGTTTCCCTATGGGGACAGATTACAGCACATTGGTTGGAGCTTTGCAATGTATATAGAAAAACGATGCTTAAGGAGTCATAAAAAGTGGTATATGAAATTACACAGAATATAAAGAAAATAAATATTTTCTTCTCTATGAAGATAAAAGCTCTAATGAAATTAAATGGTAGATTCAGGAGAGGTAAAATGAAGTATATCTTCAAACAGCACATAGCTAAACTCTGAAAGTCATTCCTAGAAGGCCGCCAGTTTGGAAGATTAAAAAAAATAAATGCACAAATCTAAAGATGATAAAACTTTGGAAGACTACATGTCACAGGTTGTATTTATATAACATACTGAAGGACAAACTGGCTAATTGCATTTTAAACCTAACATGTCATGTGACCCCAGATTGTGTGGTTATTCTGTGTTTTAGCATGTTGTGCAAACCCAGAAAATTGGATTAAATAAACCATTTGCCAACTGACTGGAGGTAAGCATGTCATGTGAAAATAGTTCTGATGGCTTTCCCTTCCATTGTTTTTAATACCTGAGGCAGCATTACTTTCAATTCCAGATGCTGGAAATTAGAAACAGGAATAGGTAGATGGATTCTTTGTTCATGGATTAGACTTTGGCTTGATCCAGTAAAACTCCAGTAAGACTCCTCTTATATTCTTCAGTATTTCACCTTCATATTTACTTAAAACTAATATATGTCATTGTTTTATCACACAAAAATGCACCATACATTGTGACTGTTCTCACCGCTAGCATTTGATGCAGTGAAAATTTATTTTCAAGTGCTTTAATATTTTATTCAAGTGCTTTAATATTTTGTTCTGAAGTAGTACATTGCCTCCCCCATCTGTCCCCCTCTAAGTAGCATGGATTGTGTATAAAGTACTGGTGAGTTTTATATGACAGTGATCTCATATAAAATTCTTACTTGCATTTATTTCTGCTTCTTCAGTAGTTGGTTCCAAGGACATGTTTTAAGGAGTAAAAATCTGCTAGGCATTGTAAGACTTCATTTTCTTCAAAAGCATCCATATAATTTCATGAAAAATTTATTTGAATCCTTTTTCTTTCACCTTTGCAAGGCTGACCACTGATGCCTGCTTTGCACCCATTTTCTTTCATCAAAACTACCATATTTGGACTTCAGAAACTGTTGAGGTCAAGATACAGTAGCCCCACTTTCATAAAAAGCCAGAAATTAAGATTAATGTATGCTCCCAAATCTTATTTGTCCAAAATAGGGATTCAATTTTCAGAAAAAATGCAGTCACGTGTTATCTATATTTCTACAAATTCTATATATGCTCTGTATTCGATGATTTTCTAATGTGTTTAGGACTGCTAGCTAGCTAGCTAGTTCAATTTTCAGAAAAAATGCAGTCACGTGTTATCTATATTTCTACAAATTCTATATATGCTCTGTATTCGATGATTTTCTAATGTGTTTAGGACTGCTAGCTAGCTAGCTAGTTCAATTTTCAGAAAAAATGCAGTCACGTGTTATCTATATTTCTACAAATTCTATATATGCTCTGTATTCGATGATTTTCTAATGTGTTTAGGACTGCTAGCTAGCTAGCTATCTATTTATTTATTTATTTATTTATTTATTTATTTATTAAATTTGTATGCCGCCCATCTCCACCAGTGGGTGACAATTATAGTAGCACCCTATTTTATCCGTAAGTATTTAGGAGGAAATCTATTGAATTGCAACTGATCCTTCAAAATAAATGCCTGTCACTGCCTCCCTGCCTTAGAGACTATCAGGTTTAATGGGATAAATTTTCATGAACTGCATTCTACTTCTACTTCTTTGGACACCTGTGAGCTGTCCAAAAACCTCGGTATAATAAATTAGTTACTGTTTAAGATGCCACAGGAATTTTGTTATCTGTTATCTATCTACCGGGTGATTTGGGGCCAGGCACTCTTTCACAGCCCAACACGACTGTCGCGGGGAAACGCTGGAAGAGAGCCTGCTGCGGTCACCATCTTAAATTCCTGGAGGAAAGACAGGCTATTAACCTGATGAATAAACAATAAACGATCCTAACTTTTTTTCATCCGAACTAAATGCAATTCGATTTATTCCCCCCATCCTAAGGGGCGGTGCATTTTTGACCGTGAGATGGAAGCCCCTGCAAATTTTCCGCGAGTTCGCCTTCCACTCCAGTTTTATTGCGGGTTAAATTTACTCTCGAACAGGCAGTCTGCAATCTTACAACTGAAATGCAGGCACGCTTGGTCGGAAGCAACCTCTACTACTTAGTCCAGTATTCCTCAACCTCGGCAACTTGAAGATGGGTGGACTTCAACTCCCAGAATTCCCCAGCCAGCCATGGAATTCTGGGAGTTGAAGTCCACCCATCCAAGTTGCCGAGGTTGAGAAATACTGATGTAGTCAGTGAAACTATCTGTCTGTTCAGCGGGTTTAGGATTGAGGCTGCGACGTATCCCCTAGTAGTAAGGCTGAAGTTCTATGCTCATTTATTGAGAACAAGTTCAAGCAAACCTTTAACGGGTTTATTTCAGGGAATATCTGCATAAAATCCCGGCACAAACTAGCTCAATTCACAGGACATTTCGCCGGCTCAGGACCACCCTATTGACGTCCATGCCCCGCCCATTTCCCGGAGCCCCGCCCCCTTTTAACCGGCCCCTGCTCCCCGTCGCGTTCTTTCCGAACGTTGGCATGGGATCCTCGCCCCTCCCT